AATTAATAAAATAAAATAAATAAATTTATGTAGACACTGTCTAGGGGGGGCGGGGTAAATATCTAATAAAATAAAATAAATAAATTTACTGTGTCTAAATGTACAATATCTGCAAGGCTGCAATTTTACACACACTTATCAAAGCAAAACAAAGCGTGCTGCTTATATACCACCCCATAGCGCTTCAAGCACTCTCTGGGTGGTTTACAAGTTAATTATGCAGGCTACACATCCCCCCCCCCACCAGCAAGCTGGGTACTCATTTTACCGACCTCCGAAGGATAGAAGGCTGAGTCTACCTTGAGCTGCTACATGGGATTGAACCCCAGGTCGTGAGCACAGTTTTGTCTGCAGTACAGTGGTTTAACCACTGCGCCACGAGGGTCCTTGCATTTACTCATCCATGACAAGTTAATTATGCAGGCTACACATCCCCCCCCCCACCAGCAAGCTGGGTACTCATTTTACCGACCTCCGAAGGATAGAAGGCTGAGTCTACCTTGAGCTGCTACATGGGATTGAACCCCAGGTCGTGAGCACAGTTTTGTCTGCAGTACAGTGGTTTAACCACTGCGCCACGAGGGTCCTTGCATTTACTCATCCATGAGTAAAACCGTACAGTGGTTTAACCACTGCGCCACTGCGCCACAAGGGTCCTTGCATTTACTCATCCATTAGTAAAACCTGTTTCATTCATTGAAATGTCTGAATAGGCACAAATAAGATTGCACTGGGAAATATACATGCACATGTTCTGCATAGTGAACATTTCAGAAAAAAATAGCAAAGACTCCTGTGGTATGTGAAAGGCTAACAAATTTTACTTTTTATCAGCTTTTATGTACTGCAGCCCACTTCATCATCAGCTGTGAAGATTAAGTGAAAAATACTTGTCTATATCAGAAAACTTTCTGAAATGTTTTGCATTAATTGCAACAAACTGAATAAAATATGATAGAATATAGTCTAAAGCACAACTCTCTCTTTTTTACAATTCATCATAATGGTGCAAAAAAGGGGGCTTTTACTTGCATTTGCTATGATTGCAGTACTACGTAATTCTTTAGACTATTAGGTTCATTTAAAAATCAAGAGTATTTGTCTAAATTCTTCTTTGTTTCTAAAGAAAGCCCCTACCTTAAGATACACATGTTTATTTTGAAGGGGAGAGTAGACCTGCCAGTTGAATACATAGCACAATACATTCTTGTGAATTTATTGCAATCATTGTTCTGGGTGACTGGGGTTTAAGACATGAAACAAATGGAGTTCCTTAAAGTATCAATTTTAAGGCTAAAGGGCTTCTTTAAATACTATGAAGTCACAGGGGGGGAGGAAGCTCCCTGGTCTTGTTTTGTTTTTCAGTCAGGAGCAGGCATTAAAATTCCATCTGAGTGCTGTCTTTAAATTGCTTTGATGTTAGGTGGGTTTCAACCCTGACCTGTCCTGACGGCAAGTGATGGCTGTTACAAGCTGCAGATCAATATTCATAGCGGGTGTCCTGGACTGATAACACTATCCAAGACAATGCTGCCTATCAGTGTGGACAGCTGAGATATTGTACCATTAGCAGTGTTGTTTTAAATAACCTGATCCATTTCTGGGTCTATATAATGAATTTTACAGTTTAGATATTATCTCTTAAAAGAAGTGACTTGTAGCACTGAGGCAAATCAATGATTCCAAGCCTCCTTGGCTTTACTTGAAGTAAAGTGGACTATAATTCCAACACTGTTTCTTATATATTCTTGAATTGTGGCATGCCTATTGATTGTGTTCACAATAAAGAGCACCTGCACTTTATCAGGAGACTGAAAAAAAACACTTTGAGCATACTTGATAAAATCTCTCATATTGTCTTAAAGCAGTATGGATCAATCCATTTATTTCTGTGACAAACTAATGAGGTTTTAAGGTACCTGTATAAGGTGGCAGTCTGTTATGCTACGACCTGAGGATATCCAGCCTACAACTCAATTACATGTCACACCTGTTTACATGTTTACTGGTGAATAACATGATCAGCCCTACCATTAGGCAGAGTGATGCAGCTGCCTAGGGCAGCAATTGTTTGGGGTGTGTGTGTCAGAGAGCAGCACTAAGAAATTGTTGGACAGACCTATCTGCTGTGTGGCCAGCTGCTGATCAATATCCTCTGGAAGAGTCAAGGAAAATACAGAAATGTGTGTTTCTGGCAAATAGTCCAATCTCCTCAGTTTCCCCCCCTCTGTACATTATTTGGTAAACCAGGACTCAAATGATCTATGTAAAGATTAAAACCATCCTACCACTGTCAATTTTTGATAATTAAAGACTCCCCCCCTGCACCTTCCATGATCTCCAATGGCTTTCCCACAACAAAGGGGACTTTGAGATAACCTCAGGACAGAGGAGGGGGAAGCAGAATTGGAAGTTTTTAAATTTTGAAAAATTCCCACAGGTTACATGACATAACTTCTGCCAACAGGAATTTCACCATGTCGAGCTGAGAGAAGGGAAGGTTGGGAAGAGAGACAGGGACCTGAAGAAGCCTGGTGGGCCAAATGGGGCCATATCAAGCCCATAGGTTGTTGGTGCCCTGTTTCTGATGAATCTGGAGGATTCTCACTGTTCACCTCTTAGATGTCTGAGTTTTAATGTTTATAAATCATGCTATGTTTGTGGTGTGAAATTATGACTGCCACCTCTTTTTACCTAGCATGTAGTAAAGGTGGATGAAATAACTTCAAGTTGTAGTCCAAAGATTACAGGAATTATTTAAGGATTCATCTCACAATTGACACTGGAGCCAGCAGCCACCACAGCTGATAGGCCCCTAGTCTTCAACAGCTACATAGCAGGCAGATATAACATGGGCCTTTTAATGCTGGGCACAGCTTCACCTTTTAGATTTGGCCAAAGGAGATGAGTGAAAATTTTCTTCACTTCCTTTCCTTTTTATAAGAACTTAGAAATACTGTACTTCAAACATTTCCTCACAAACTGAACCGAAGGTACTCAACAGATTCATACTTTAAGAAGAAAATTAATGTGGGAAAAATAGAACTGACAGACTTGTTCACCCTCAGGTGCAACTCAGATGCAATGTGAACCATTATGGGGTTCATATAAGAGAGCGGATATCTAAAAGCCAAAATGTTTGCATGTGGAAGGTCTCAACAGTTGAATCCTTGTAGAAATTAGACTCTTGGCTGAAACACCAGAGACACTGCCAGTCAGTGCATATTAATTGTCTGATCCAGCATAAGAGGGCTTCTATAGGTTAAATTAATAGGTAAAAGGAAGTGTACCTCATTCAAATCTCTTGCCCCTTTACCTGGTTATAAGAAATTAAACCATAAAGGATGGTCCTCCATTCACCAAAAAAAAAGAACTTACTAAGAATGTGAGGTTCAGGTTTATGTTTTTGTCTTGTCTTGTCATATTAAGACACGTAATGAATGCCAATACTTTTTAGAAATTTAACACCTAGCTCAATAGTTAGGCCTCTTGCTTAGCCACCCTTTCTCTATGGGAGGTGTGAGGAAGTTCGTGTCCAAGAGAGGTTATGCTTCAGTATTGCCTGCAGAGACAGAGGCAGGACAAATAAGTAGAGGAAGGTGCTGCCAGCCATATCTTTCATTCCTCCCCCCAATGGACCCAATCTTTTCCTCCCATGTGATTAAAAAAGAGAGACTAAGCGAGCAGGTAGACCAACTGAGGCAATTACTTTCCTCATTCTTTTGGATAAATAGTAGCAATTGTAAAGCAGAAATGTGGAATCACTGTCCATCCATTTCTAGACTCCAGCTTCCATCAACCCCCAGCTACTACCCTTATTATTTGGAGCTGTTGGGTGCTGGTCCCAGTACCTCCCCTTGGAGAGTCACATGTCCCACAAACCTTGCTATGAGAAAAGCTGTCCACTGCTTTTAATAGGTTTTCTTATCCCTTTCCACTGCATGATTCTGCGTGTCCATTTGCTACTTCTTTGGGGACTAAGACAAGACAGTGGCCTGCTCAGGCATAGCAGGAACATTCACCACCCCCTCTACATGTTGCTTTCCTTCTTCTAGACGGCTTCAATGAAACAATCCTGGGTCCCATCCCTACTAGCATGTTTCTGGGAGCGAGAGGAGACTTGAATAAGTGCGAGGATCTTTCTTGCCTCTCTGCTTAACGTGTAGCCCCGTTGTGCTCCACCTCTAAAGGGTTTATGCTGGTGGGGATTGCCCTGTCTCTCCATACAGCGAGGCCCCAAGAAAGGGAAATGCACAGGCCAGCTCAAGAATTTTGTTGCCTAAGGCAAAGACTCAGAACATGCATCCTCCATTTGGCTTAGAGAGTAGACTTGCCATCAATTCTCACTTCAATGCTGGTGATAGGATAGCATAGCCCGTTTTACTTGTGATTGGTGGGCTTGTGAGAGGGCATTTCTGATGGAGCAAAATGGTGAAGACTGCCGGAGCTGAGCATCTGCATCCTGCAGCAACTTTTTCACTCTGCCTAAAGGTAGGGCTGTCGCTTCAAGGTTGTGGCAGTGCTCTGTTATGGGCAGCCCAGTTGTCTCCACCACCATGTTGCAAAGGAACCACACAACTGACCAAGAGTGTAGAATCTTCTACCTTTTATTTCGGAAGTGCGGTAAAAAATTGCGTTAACGGTGTGTGTGTGTGATAGGGTGATGATAACTGAAGGAAACAGGTCTCCACCATCAGGTTGCCAGCAGGGACAGGTTGTCAACGGGGCGCACACAGCCAAAACTATCTGCCTGCGAGCGCCGTCCTACCGCGTGGTCTGCGCAGAAGCAACCCTCACGGAGGGGGGAAAAACATGTCTACTCGGGAGTAACTGACCGATGGCCTTCAAGAGGACTGACGTGTAGGTCTGTGGCAGCAGGCAAGTCAGTGATCAAGGGAATACTACATTTCCCAGGCGCCTTCGCGGGCAGGAAGGGTTTGCTAGCCCGGCGGCGCAGCGTCGTGCTATCTCTCTCTCTCTCTCTCTCTCGTGTACTGGCTCGAATACGAAAGCAAGCAGGGTTTATTCATTCCCCGTTATGGCTGATTGGAGTAAGCGCCTTGCGGGCATTAAGGGGCTGGTGTTAGATATTAGCGGGGTACTTTATGACAGTGGAGGCGAAGGAGGCGGAGTCCCTATTCCAGGATCTATAGAAGCTGTGAAAAAGTAAGTGGGGGCCCTTTTAGCGACCGGCTAATGAGTTTCCTCGCTCGCCTCTTAAGCCCCTTTCCAAGCAGAAGCGTTTGGCTTGGTCGCACATTATTTACAGTTTATTTAGAAGTTACATTCATACCCTGCCTGCCCTCCCGTAAGCTCCAGATCGCATATCCGCATCGGAGTAGTGAAAAGAAGAGCTGTAGAAATGCTTAGTTTTCAGGAAGCTTGGAATTTATACTAGGATCGCTTTTTGCCTCCCCCCACCCCACCCCAGGAGAACTACTGGGACAGCTAGAGGTGATCCATTACACGTAATTATAAAATTGAACTGACATGGTGGCTTAACTTCTAAAAATAAACAAGGTGTAAGATTTGTAACTGACTTTCCCTGATCTAGAAGTCCTGGCCACTTGATACTCAGTCTGGTTTGAATTGGCCGTCGGTGGTTGTTAGAGTAAATGGCACTCTACTACACACTCAGCATTTTCACTGCAATTGCCACAAGTTTCATCCTCACTGTCATTAATGGAAAGCATGCATTTGCATATTTACTCAGTATTTACTCAGGTTTAGGGAATTTATGATAAACAATTATTTTTAAACGTGCCACAAAATACTTTCTTAGTTTTGTTCCAAGTACAGTACGCATGTTGCATTTTTAAAAATATTTCTCTACGGCGCTCATCATTTTTAGTGTAACTGTTAATACGATAAAGATCAGGACCATATTGGTAGTCACAGCTAGAACAGACCGGATGAATTAGTACGATTTACATAAATGTTGATTCACTGTCCAAAAATTGGTTGTATTGGTCTACTCTGGTTAGGACTAGCCATAGAATTTAGGCCAAAGAGAGCCACACCTGATTAGAACAAAGGCCTTCCTGGTCTGTCCACACAGTGGGACAGCCAGGAGCTTATGAGAAACCTGTCAAGAGAAAATAAGCACAGCATTGCCTTCCTGTTTAAGTTCTCCAGAGATATGCTGCCTGAGGTACTGGACAGAGTATATTTATAAAACACTTAGTAGCCCCATCCTCCATGAAAAACGGAAGGGATTTATGTATCTAATGCTTTCAGAATCCTCTAGCATTTTTAAAAAAAATATTTTGGTAAGTAGTGAGAAGCAGAGTACAGTATTTAACAATTTTCTAAAAGCCATTTAGTAGAATTGATATTGAGGAAGAACTTTAAAAACTGAAAAGATTGAGTGAACAACAAGATGATGTGAAATGCAGTGTCTATTTAAAATCAAAACAATTCTCATACTATATGATTGTAAAATGCATATTTTAATCTTTAAAACATTGCCCTGGTGCATCTGGAAGTTAATAGCACTAATTTCAACGGACATCTTAGTTGGTTTAAACCATAGGGTCCCTGCCGCACATGCAGTTCTACGATTGTTATTATTATTTTAAGATTATTTATCAGAGGGATAGCTTTAGTATTTTTATTGCTTGGGACATTTGGTAAAGTATATGATAAAATGATCTGAGCAGATATATAAATGAAGCAAATTAATTGAAGGACAGCTTGTTTCCTGTTGTGACTGCCGGTGTACTGGTTATCTTCAGAAGACGCCTCACTTTGGCACCTGCCATTGGGTGTGTGTGGAAAGTGTTTTGTTAGTGCTGTTGCAGGCAGAATGTTCTTCCCAGGGATGTTTGCCTGATGTGCACTTTTGGTAAATTTTGTTTTGGTAAATCCATTCTTATTTCCCTGTGCTTTAAAATATGTCCTGTTTTATCTTACACTATGTGTGCCCAAGATCCTGTTGTGAAGTGCCACAATGGTGAGGAAAATCACACACGTGGTTTGTAATTTCCTGACTGGGTCACATGCCCCAGGCGTGTGTCTATGTGATCCAGGCGTAGCAGAGAGTACAACAGTCAGCTGCATATACAAGCCTTCTGTATTCTGGCCTCTTTGTTTTATATCTGCAGACTACTTTTATCCTGCTATTTTAAATTAGGGTATACTTAATGTTTTTATGTTTCCTTTATTTATTTACTTTTTGGTAATTTTTCTGTTGCCCCTGTGAAAACTTGCTGAAGAATGAGATATAAATTCCTGAAAATGAATTGGATATGTTGGAAATGACTTGATGGCAAATAACACACATAAATATATGGTGCACCGTTGTATTTATTTATTTGATTTTTATTATATCTGTCTCCTGAGAATGGGACTCAGGACAGCTTACACCAAAATACTACAAATAGATTGTAAAATATAAATGGAATAAAAAGCATGATTTTAAACAAAGTAGTACTGTAAGAAGAATGCAAACACGCATTCTTCTTACAGTATACAGTGGTGCCTCGCATTACAAGCGCTCCGTTTTACGACGAAATCGCTTTATGTTGAAGGTTTTGCGATCGCAAAAGCGATCGCAAAACATTGTTTCCTATGAGGGAATTTCGCTTTGTGATGATCAGTTCCCTGCTCTGGTAACTGATTCTCGCAAAGCGATGATTTTTGGCCAGCTCATCGGCGGTTTCAAAATGGCCGCCGGGTAAAAAACAAGGCTCTTTTCTGGGACGGATTCCTTACTGCACAAGCAGCGAAAATGGCTGCGCTATGGAGGATCTTCGCTGGACGGTGAGTTTCAAGCCCCTAAGAACGCATTAATCGGGTTTTAACGCGTTTTTATGGGCTTTTTAATTTCGCATTACGACGTTTTCATTCTACAGCGATTTCACTGTAACTAATTAACGTCGTAATGTGAAGCACCACTGTACTAGTGTATAACAATGTGCCAGTGTTTTTATACACTAGTATAAGAAGAATCCAGCCAACTGTCCATTTAAAAACACCTTTTGCAGCAGGTTTGTTCAGTTGCCAAAGACAGACTTGGAATATAAAGAACTTTGCCTGCAGGTGGAAAAATAATAGAATGGCAGCCAGCCTAGCTGCTCTCCCTTGGTGGTGGTGGGGTGGCTGCCAAGGGCCAGGGGCTGCCAAGAAGGCCCTCTCTCACATGTTCACTAGATTTGTCTCAGAAGGTGGTGGGACCAAAAGAAGAGCTTCCTTTGAAGTTGCTGGATTCCAGACAGATCTATATGGGAGAATACGGTCCTTCAGATAGCCTGAATTCAAGTCATAAAGGACTTTTATTTCTTTATCATTACTTGTACAATACAGGATCCAAACATAGTGATCCCTAAACTTGTTTAGGCTTCAGACCCATTGAAATCAGTGGGACTGAAGTCTTGACTAATCAGTTGGTTGACTAGGTTGACATATCTAGTAAGTATGCCTAGGTCTGCATCTAGTGCACATAATCTGGGGGAGTTCATACTTCCATAGATTTATCTACCAAGCAGTAACATGGTTGGGAATGCTTGCCTTATTGCAGAAGACATATTCTAACTTTTGGGGTAGTACGAACTCCATGGTATGTTTAGTGTTCTTTTGTTGAACCTCAAAGCATATTGAGATTATTGTGTGCTGCGACCGCTACGCTGAGACCCGTTCTTTCTGACCTCCTTGGAGATCTTAATTATAAATTGTCCAAATCGAAGGGTTGTCTGTACTGTTACTTTAGAGAAGAGTTCTTGAGTCTCATTTGCCTGTATTAAGCTTCTGAGCCCCACCCTCCAGCCATTTGGCTACAAAGTTTGCTGTATTATTTGCTATTGTGTTTAGTATAGTTTATGTACTATAATCTGTGCAGACAATGTAAACTGTAACTGAACGTAGAGTAATGTCAGGCCACATTGGTTGAAATGGCAGCCAAACCAGAGCCTTCAGGCAAAATGTGACATGTTTGGGCTCTGTTAGAAATGCTGGAAATCCATAAGTCTCAGTTGTTCATTAGTGATTGGTTTGTTTCAGCAGTTAATTTGGCTTCTTCATTTATTTGACCCAAGGGAAAGAAGGAAAACATACTGAATCTTCAAAGTATGCTTTGACATGCTCACTAACGATGGTCCCCAGGATATTTAGTCAGAACAGTCAACTGCATTTGGGCTAGGTCTACAGTGGTAGTCAAGGAGGTGAAATTTGCTCAAAGGCCTGTGCACCCACAAGAATGGGTGCATTGCTTGCAGCTGGAGCAAGTTAGCTTTGCATTCAAGAGAATGCCTTGTCCCTTCATTTCCTCATAGAAATGCCTCCTCCTTTCACTATAGTTCAGTTGCCTTCTGTCATTATTCCTCAAGATCTGCCCTGAGGACATTCTGCAAAGGACTTCATTAGATACAAGATGGGTGAAGCTGCATATCTTTTCAATAGCAAATGGCAAAATACAGTATGCATCAGAGGGTGGGGATTTTAGGGTGTGTGTGGATATTTGGGCATAATTGACATTTCATGATTCACATACAGGGATGCTGATTCTCTGCTCACCTTCTGGGAGACCTGATGTTTTAAACCAGTGAAGGGGAAAAAAAACAGTATCAGTGTTGCTGAAGTCTGTGCCACTGTCTGATTAATAGGCAATCAGAACTGGAGGAGTGTTGCCATACCCATGTATGAGTTATGCCTAATAGCTTAGAAGTTGCAGAGATGCATATTTTGCACATTTTCCTTCTTTTCCCCCTCCTGCCTTTATATGAGAAATACCTTGGCATGGCTTGAGGTTTCTTGGCCTCCTGGAGGAGGTTTCCGGGAGGCACACGAAGCCACAGAGGGCAGTGATGCTGCTCTTCCTGCTTCCTTTGAATTCTGCTGTTCCATCAACAAAAGTCTACTGCTGGATCTGCCTTTCATGGAACTTTGCTCTTAGGAACACTACTATATTTGATGTTTAAACTGATGTAAAATTTTTAGTTTTTTTGTGGAGAGGAAGAAAAATACAATCAGAACCTGAAAAACAAAAGTAAAGACATTTCTCTTCATACTTAATTGCACTTGGTTCATTATCTTTATCACACAGTATAATTTCATTTTTCTTTGAAACTTCTTTTTGCACTGGACTAGATACCAGGATACAGGCAATTAATGTTAGAATGATTGGACTCTTATTATAAGGCTGAATCATCAGACTGAAGTGCTAGGTTATA